TGCATTAGTGCACACAGTTATGACCTTTGGTAGATGAAGGTTGGTCATGCTATCAATGTGCTAAATTTCTTTTCTATTGATTCTAATTATGGCTTTTCTTTAATCCTGGTAATCTAGTTTTCCAGTGAGAAATGTGCTTCCTGTGGTGTATGTATTCTATTCTATTCTGTTCTATTTTATTCTTTTCTACTATTTTGCATGTAGACTTATTCTGTTCTGGTAGTCTCAATGTTACCTAACTGCTTGATGCTTGATTGGTACTATCTATTTTTATTTTCATAATGAATATTCAACTCAGCTTAACTGTTTCTGTTCAATTGTTGTGTTAATAAAAACTGTATTTTTTTAGTCTCCAGTTTCGATGGTATGCTACTTTATGCTACACGGACATATTTGATTACACAACAGCATTTTATCCGAGATCGGCTATTACTCTTCCCATCAATTGACAGTCGTATATGGTTGTGACTGAACACCATCAGATTGGCTGGTTTGTTCAGAGAAGAACTAGAACAACGCCCTCGATATGGGGTTCTCGTTCAGACTGTCAGTTCTATTGGAGTTCAACCTCAAGGGTTTATTGGAGCCGAACTTGAGTTGATCATATTTTCAAAGTTATTTTTGCTTGCTTAAACCAGCTGGAGCTCTAATAAAATACTGTTGAATTATTAAGCAAGTAATATGATTGCTAATTTGTTATTTATTATGTTATAATATTGTAATAAGTTAGTTATATGATGTTACCAGACTGTTTAATTTTCAAATGTTCGTGATGCCAGGATTCGTAAATACAAATCATGCAGAAAAAATTTCGACCTCAATCAAATTTTCACTGCTACAAAATTTCACTATTTTTTCTGAAATTGTCTCTTACAAAGTTAAAGTTGTTGGCAGTATTTGCTCTGTGCATCCCAATACAACAAGTGCACTTAAACCAAATTTGTCATTTTTTCTATCTTGGATAATAGAGCAAAGATAATATGAATTGCATATTTTGCCATATTTTTATTAAATTTTATTATAACATATCTTGAAATATCAGTGAAAAACATTTTACATGTCTCTAAATAGTTGTTAGTGTTTCATGATTCGTTAACATGCACTTTATTGCTGCGTTGTTTAATTTTTCTAACAAGGTAGAGGTGTAAACACATACAAACACATCCATAACACTTTTGAATATGTTTGTAATACTTTCAAACACATCAGTACAGGTTTTTCCAGATGATTATGAGAATTTTCGTTGCTAGCTTTTTCACTACCAGATTTTCTCGCCTCAATTTTGGTGCACTTTTTTCATCTCTTAAGTATTTCTGAAAATTAACCCTAATTTTGGAGCCAGCAGACAAAATTTGGGTAAATTTTCAGTTTTTATTCAAAAAATATGGCTATCTTTAATAGTGCCAATATTCTGAAGGAAAGTGCTAGAAATGAGACTATTTTGTGAATTTAGGATGAAATGCGTGAACTGGTGTAATAAGAAGATGACAGTAGTTGTTATATTGCTGATTAATAAATTAAAAATAAAGTGTATTATCGTGTTATAATTACCTAACCTTATTAACCCAAAATGCTGTTGCTGATTTCAAAATTTTTCTTGTTAGGGTGATCGTTTCTTCAAGTATAAATGTCACTATAATGGAGTGGACGAGGAAACAAAAAAAGCAAAAATGAAAGGACTTGATGGGACATTCACCAGCAAGGTTGGTAACTGAGAAGTAAAACTTTTGTGTGCATGTATCTTTAGGTTCATGTGCCATGGAAATCAACACATTTATGTCATTTTCTGTTCACTGCATGATCTTGCATACTGCCTGAAAAGTGCGAATTAAGTGTCTGCCACAAAAAAGAAATTATTGGATTATGAGCTTGGCTTCTTTTTATAATTCAGTTTTGAAATGCAGATCCTTCATAAAATGTGTATCAATATTAAGTTCAGAATTACCTCCAAATATATTGCGTTTGACGAATCCCATTCAATGTTTTGATGCAACTATGACACTGTGAACTTGTCTGTTCTGTTTTTATGTTTCATTTTATGCATAATGTGGGATCTCGCTCAGAATGGAAAATGGTCTATTATCATGTTAGTTATGTTGTAAACACAGCTGCCAGACTGTATTTTTAGTCCCCGTTTGAACGTCGTCCGAAAACAGGGACTTATGTTTTGACCCTTGTGCGTCCGTGTTTCCGTCCGTGTGTGCGGTATCTTAGAAATGCCTGTACGAATCATAATCAAACTTCACACATACATCATACATGATATTATACATATGCACATCAATTTGTTTCAACATCTGATTCAAGATGGCCGAATGGCAGCCATTTTTGTGCTAAAAAATCAAGCATTTCTCGGCTGTTTACAAATAGATTTTGTTCAAACTTAGTATATACATCAGACATTATGGGACCTTGATGCAAACAATTTTATTTTTCAGATCAAATTCAAAATGGCTGACTGGCTGCCATTTTGTTTTAATGAATGGGCTTCTAGACCCATATCTCTGACTTTATTTGACTGATTATGTTCAAATTTTTAATATTCATTATTCAGCATGTTATAGATATATACATGAATTCAAAATGGCTGATTTTGTTTTTAATTAATACTGTTCCAGAGCAATATCTCCCAATATGGACAAGTACTTGTTTGACCATCAGATACAAATGTCAATCATTTTAATGTTAAAAAATCATTTTCCTGACACAGTTATATTCCAGCTATATTACTATAAACAAAACTATATATCTTAAATTTGATAACTAATGAGGACTGTGCCATGCATGCCTTGTAACACAATGCTGTTGTTTGCCACTGTTGTTTAATTATAAATAGAATCTATCTTTGGGATAGAAAAGCTGAAAAGCTGGTTTTGAATATTTTTCAGGAGTCCAACAAGTTGATACTATAAAATACTTTATTTTCACTTGGAATTTCTTTTCGCTATTTTTGCTGAAGGAATGATTCAGTGAAAATAAAATCCAGCGAATATTTCACATTCAACTCATCTAAAATCAGTGAAAATAAGTTCCATACAAAACACCCAAAAAGTCTTTTCAGCGAAAATTAATTCCAGCGGAGCCTTGATTATTATTAGCTCCGCTGTCGACTTTGTCGAGCGGAGCTTATCATATGAGGATTGTCCGTCGTCGTCGTCGTCGTCCGTCGTCCGTGTCAATGTTTTACTTTTTCGACTTCTTCTTGAAAACTACAAGCCTGAATGCTTTGATACTTGGTGTATATGTACCTTGGGTAGACCTCTCTTAGGTTTGTTCATTTCATGTTGATATCTTCAATTCTCTAATTTTGGTGAATATTTTTGTCATTTTTGGTAAAAAGTGATATTTTCGACTTCTTGTTAAAAACCGCAAGTGCAATTGCTTTGATATTACATATATAGGTACTACATGTGGACCTCTTTCAGATTTGTTCATTTTGTATGATATCTTATTCTCTAATTTTGGTGAATATTTTTGTCATTTTTGGTAAAAAGTGATATTTTCGACTTCTTGTTAAAAACCACAAGTGCAATTGCTTTGATATTACATATATAGGTACTACATGTGGACCTCTCTCAGATTTGTTCATTTTGTAATGATATCTTTAATTCTCTAATTTTGGTGAATATTTTTGTCATTTTTGGTAAAAAGTGATATTTTCGACTTCTTGTTAAAAACCGCAAGTGCAATTGCTTTGATATTACATATATAGGTACTACATGTGGACCTCTCTCAGAATTGTTCATTTTGTGATGATGTCTTCAATTCTCTAATTTTCGTGAATATTTTTGTAATTTTTGGTAAAAAGTGATATTTTCGACTTCTTGTTAAAAACCAATAGTTCAATTGCTTTGATATTACATATTTTCCTGACATAGTTATATTCCAGCTATATTACTATAAACAAAACTATATATCTTAAATTTGATAACTAACGGGGACTGTGCCATGCATGCCTTGCAACACAATGCTGTTGTTTGCCACTGTTGTTTAATTATAAATACATGTAGAATCTATCTTTGGGATAGAAAAGCTGAAAAGCTGGTTTTGCATATTTTTCAGGAGTCCAACAAGTTGATACGATAAAATACTTTATTTTCACTTGGAATTTCTTTTCGCTATTTTTGCTGAAGGAATGATTCAGTGAAAATAAAATCCAGCGAAATATATACCTTGTTTCCTATATTTCACATTCAACTCATCTAATATCAGTGAAAATAAGTTCCATACAAAACACCCAAAAAGTCTTTTCAGCGAAAATTAATTCCAGCGGAGCCTTGATTATTATTAGCTCCGCTGTCGACTTTGTCGAGCGGAGCTTATCATATGAGTGATTGTCCGTCGTCGTCGTCGTCGTCGTT